CAAAGAAGTAGCCAGACAGAGTACCCAGTACGAAAATTCCAGTGAAGGGGTTATAATAATGATAAAGACTGTCTTTTTTTTTTTTTTATTTTGTCTTTTTCCGTGTCCGGCAACGGATCGCAACCCTCAGTGTTGCCCCCGCACCAGACCAGGGACCGGCAACGGGATCGCAAGCCTCGGTGCTGTTCCCGCGCCTCGCTCAGCCAGTGAGCGGGAGCCGGTCCGTATGTGGGATCCGAACCCTCGGACGGGAGCGCCGCCGCGCTTCCCAAGCGGCGCACTATCCAGTGCGCCACTGGGCCGGCCCCAACATGTCTTTTCTCAACCTCACAGCTCCACTTCTGCTAGAGTTGACTGGTCTACTTATTTTTTTTTTTCTCCCAAACTCTGACTGTATCCACTCCAGAGTTACTGTTATGCTTGGAAGGCTTTCCCTGATTCTGTGTGCAACACTTACCCATCCTTTAAAGTCCAACTAAGTCCCTCCTCCTTCACAATGATTTCCAACAAAAACCTACAGGTTCTCCACCTTCTATGAAGTCCTGTCACTCTTGCTGCCTCTTAAATACTTCAAGCTTTTCACAGCCAAGGATCAAACTCATTGTGCTCTTCTTCTTCGGCCCTGTGCACAAGGCTGACACTACCCCAATTTTGTCTTCATAGGACTTACACACCGTATGTCCCCAGCACACAACTTTGGAGTCAGGACAGATTCCTCATTGCCCCCAAGAGGGTCCTGACATTTTTTTCCCTCGCTCATTTCCCCCCTTCCTGCGATGCTTTCCTTTCTGCACAACATCTAAATCCTACCAAGCAAGGCCCTGATAAATTTACATTTTTTCCATAGAGATGTCCTTGATCACGTCCAGCTTCAACCACCTTTCCTTTTTCTAAACTATTTACCCAGTCTATAATGCGTCTTAGTTCTTGTCCAGTTCTCTGGCTGTAACGATTTTATCACTGCTTCTGTGAGACCGATTCCTTTTCTTTCGAATTAGATTTAAGCATCTTGGGGACCAGGCTCCTTTCTTTATCTTCCTCATAGCACACAACGATGGGTACTGTAAAAAGTTTAGCTCCGTAGATGTCACCCAGAGGCAATTTTGCCTCCGAGAGGACACCTGGCAGCATTTCTGGAGACATTTTTGCCTATCGCACTTGATGACAGGGTGCTACCGGCATTTACAAGGTAGAGACCAGGATGCTGCTAAACCTCCTACCATGCACAGGGCGGCCTCCTACAACAAAGAATTTTCCAGCTCCAAATGACAATCATGCCGCGGTGAAGAAACCGTGGATTAGCTGAATGACGTAGTGAAAGAAAGGCAACGGCAGCAAAGCCCCCGAGAGGGTGGGCGTTTGCAGGTCCAAACGCGGTGTGGACTGACCCGCTGGGCTGTGCCTGAGTCAGCCGGCCGCGGGCTGGCCGGATCCGACTCAGCTATCCCAAGCCGGGGTGGGGTGGAGATACACGGCCGACATCCCCCGAGGACCTGGAGCACCCGTCCCCCACTCGCTCCATTCCCTACCTGCAGCGACATGCCGACAACAAAAACACCCTGTCAACCACCGCGCGGAGGCCCCGCGCTCCGCAGCTGCAACTGGAACTACCGGCACAATTCTCGCGAGACCTCGAGGGTGCGCTCTCGCGAGATGTGGGCGAGGCTACCGGTCGGCGCTGCGCAGCCGTGCGCATGCGCCTTAGTGCTCCACAAGAGGGCGGTTCTGTTTTGGCTTGCCTCGGAGGGGCGGGATGGGAACTGGGCTGTGAAACTCTCTGTTCCGTGTTCTCTCGCCATCTTCCGCCACCTTCCGCCACCTTCCGCCACCTTCCGCCACCTTCCGCCACCTTCCGCCACCTTCCGCCTTTGAGAGTCGCGCCTGGGTAACGGCCCCGTCCACCCTTCAGAACCGCGGAGAAAGGAATTGCGCGCCTCTGGCAGAGTTCTTAGTTCGGAGTGCGTGACAAAGCGTTTAAGCCCCCTGTTCCTCCCGGGACAGAGGCCAGGCTGGGCCAGGGGGGACGGGCAGGGCGGGCTCGGGAGGAAGCTGATCCCTGGTGATGATGGCTCAGGTACCTAACACCCGCCGCTTCTGGCGGACAGGCAGAAATGAAGACTCGTTTGTGTTCGTTAAAGCCCCTTTCCCCGCTAGACTTCTTAGGGCTTCCCCGGAGCCCACTGGTCTCTGCTTAGAAATTCGCGTCCCCTCTGGTCACCGGTAACCATTTTCTCTTCCAGTCCACCATGCCCCCCGACTTTGATGTGTTGACTCGGGGTGAACTGCGCAGAAAGCTGTACCAGACGTTTAAGGATCGGGGTATACTGGATGCGCTCAAGGTATCACATGAAGGCATATTTGTGTCATAGCTTTTACAAGTGTAACCTGTAACAGGTAGTCCACATTTAAATTAATCCAGGGCTTGGGTTTTAAAAATAGTACAATATGTAGATTGTATTGGTGAATTACAATTTTATATTCCTGTGTAACTCTTTAACCTGGAAAGAGCATATTCAAATAATTTATTGAACTGACATTAAGACAGGGAGTGGATGACATTTAAATAATGAACACTTTTTGTAACATTAGGCTTGTTTTATAAATCTGGTTTACAGGTTCCTGAATTAAGTGGTTTTGTAATACTCACGTCTGGATGAAGAAAGACATTGATGCCACATGGCAAATATTAAGTGTACTGCTTACTGTAGTTTGGGAAATGGAAAATTTCTTCTTGAAAATATATTGAAACGTATGAGTATTTAATTGGGGCAGCAAATATTTGTTAGTACACTTTATATTTGGATTAACATTAAGGAGTAGAACTAGCTCAATGTGTTTTCACTGTGATATACATTTCAGAAGTATATTTTATATTTAAAACAGGAAATTAAGGAAAAGTGAGCTTGGTTTTTCTCCTCCCTTCCCCATTGCTTTTGTAACCTCATAAAAATACTTCAGACTCATTTGAAAAATACAGAAAAGCATATGGAAGAAAAATCATCTCTAAAATAACCACTAATTGGTATAATATGTGTCTGTATCTTTTTTTATTTAAATTATATGATGAGCATTTTCCCGTTTCCTTAAAAGTTTCTTAAATCCTCATTTTCAGTGGTGGCAGGGCTTATCTTTTGTATGTATGGGTAATTTATGTAGCAGTCCCTGTTGTTGAATGTTTAGGTTATATCCAGGTCTACACGTAGCTTTGATTGCATCTCTCATTTTTTGCCTAGCATAGATTAAATGGCATTACCAAGTCAGGGAGCATGAGCATTTTTAAGGTTCTTTGCTGTATGCATCTTGTTCTGGAAAGATTATAATAGTTTGTATTATACCAGCAGTTGCGAATGTCTGTCTCCAATATTTTTATCAGTACATTTTTTAAAGCAATCTAAGATTGGGAAAACTATTATTTTAATATTTCTTCCCTTTGATTATTAATGAGGTTGTACATATTTTCTGGCCATTTACATGTTTTCCATTGATTAGCAGTTCATGTTCCTTGCTCATTTTTTTCCTATGGTCTTAGTGTTTTCTTACTAACATGTAAGAGCTCTTCTAGTAGAAACTATTCATCTTTTTTCCATTTTTGTTGCAATACTTTATCTCGGTGTTCAATTTTTAGTTTGGCTTTAAAGATACTGATGTTACATTTTTATATGGTCAAATCTATTGGGTTTTTATGTTTGTTTGGGTTTTTTTTTTTTTTGCTTTTTACCCACAGTAAGTTCTCCATTAAGAGAATGAATAGTCACTTTTTAAATTTTAAAAAGGCTTTCGTTTACACTTAACTCCTTAACTCACTTGGAATTAATTGTACTTCGTGAATACACTTTCTAATGTTGAATGATCTTTGCATTCCTGGGTATGTCCTATTATGAATTAGATTTGATAGTATTTTACTTCATTTCTGTAGTCACAGTTGATATTGACCAGTCGTCCTTTTCGAGCTATCCTCATTTTCCTTTGGTATCAGGATAATGCTAGCCTTGTTCACTTTACAGCTGCAGTGTAGCCCCAGAGAAATATTGTTCTGTTCATTTTGCTAATTGGTTTCTATTCCAGCTTGATCAATAGCAGGGCAGATTTTTACTTTCTCAGTCTGAGCTAAATTTTACTTTCTCAGTTCAGTGACTGGTGTGGGTAAGTTCTAATTTTTAAAGTTTACTGGATTTTGTAGTGGCCTAATTTACATTCTATTGGGGTGTTTGAAAAGAGTTCATATTTACAATTAAGTACAGAGTCATGTAAGTATCTATTAAATGAAACTTGTCAAATCTTCTAAATCTTCTGTTTCCTCATTTGGGGTCTACTAAATCTGTCAATTTCTAAGAGGTGTGTTGAGGACCCACAAGTCTCTTCTCTCCCACTTTCCCTTCCCCCACAATAATTGTCTTCCTTTCATACTACTCTTTGAGTTTTATCTTAAGGACACTGCAAAATTTAATTCTGAATAGATTTCTCTCTTGCATTGACTGCTGGAAGTTCCCAAGCCAGTTTTGTGATTCCTTCTAGCAAGTACTGAATGGCACTTTTTTTGTGTTTGTCAGGGTAGGAATTCATTTATAATATCACTTCATTTTTTTCTACTCTTCTCCCTGCTTATATCACCCATTTTATCCCTTCATTTTTTTCCTGCTCTTATTTTCCTCTCACCCTGCTTGTATCACTAATTTTATCCTATTTCAGTACTTGTATGCAAGATACCCTAAATCCTTTTATTTATTAAACTGTGTCTAAATATATTACTTCTTAGCTTGTTACAATTCTAATTAAACTACCTCTAAATTTTACTGTTGGAGAATGCTGTGGTTATTCTTTTCTTGTTTTATTATTTCAGTTACTGAATTGTATTGGATGAGGCTGAACATGTCTTCTGTTCAGCATGAATGTCTTTTTAAATATAGGATTTTAGATGTATAATAAATCCTGTTCTATCCTGGTAATTATATACCATTCTACTCTCTAGTTAAAGGGTAGAAGAGAGAGGTATAACAAGAACTTTATTTCTTGCTTGCTTGTATTCTATTAATATGAATTATTAGCTATTATTTCCTGCTGAACCCCACAAATCTTTTTTTTTTTTTTTTTTTTTAAA